GTGCACCACGTGGAGGTAAGTCTATCGCACACCCCCTCTTCGAGGATATCATGCTTTGTATTCGATGTCAGTATTGAGACCAATATGATTAAACGTGAATTATCACTATACGACAAAATAACCATAAATTTGTTCCCAGTAGTCCTTGTTAGTCGATACGCCTGAGAAACTGTACAGAAGACGTAACTTTATCTTTGTTACCTCTAGAAAAAATCGCTGGAAGGTGGTTTCATGAATCCAATTGAACTAACCAGTACATGTTTGGAACCCGTACCAGAAGGTCGTGTAGCAGAGTCTTATATGGCCAGTCGCCCCTACCGTCAGGAACTTAGCACCTTTATAGGAAGCGCCATGAAACAAAGAGAACAAGAAGAAGATAGCGACGAAGGTTCTGATCTAGATGTAGAAGAAATCGATTCAGACTCGACTTCAGCTAGTGAAGGAAGTGAAGATATTGAACCATTCCCACTTCCTCCAGCTCCTATGTCTGATCATATTCCATCGAAAGAACCCCGACAATCATCTCCCTCACCGCCACCTCCGGAAGAAACAAAACATGGAATGGTATTTCACGAAGTTGTAGAAGAGATAGGAGGTGGAGCAGTTAGTGAAACATCTCTAATGGAATGCTCTGCCCCCTTAAAACCTGTCATTCCTACGAGACTTTCACAAGCTACTGTGGCTGAACATCCAGCACAGATTGAATATCGTCAAGGTTTTGTGACTGGAAGAGAGAAAGCGGAAGGAGGAAATAGTGAAGAAGGAGAAGAGGAGAAAGGGGGCGAACATGATACATCTGTGGATACCGTGATTTCCGTGCCTACTACGCCTTCCAAAAAATCTAAGCATCGCAAGAAGGCCGCTAAAAAGAAAGAGAAAACTCCTTCTGTTGCAGTGGCTGAGAATAAATCTTCCCCCACAGATGAGCCTAAGGAAACTTAAGTCCCGGTAAGGCTGAGATTTACTGAAACTTTAGTATTCTAATTGCCTATTATTTTATTGAAAGCATTTCGAATATTTGAGTGGTCTGCCTAGTGTGGTGCATTGATATCTTCCCATTAATGATTATACGTCCATCGTGTCTATTTATGGACAATCGATACCCCACATTATTATAGGGAAAGCTTTTTTCAAAACGTATTTTTCTGAGTATTTCGGATAATCTCATCGAACTTCTAAGGTGAGAAGCTCAAAATCACGCATTCCAATCTTGCATCAAACTTTGTCAATGCACTTGATCATCCACGCAACTAGATGTCTACGTTGAAACATCAAGCCCTCAACCTCTAATTTTGCAGATGAGCAATCTTGCTCCTGCGTCTATATCTCTATAGCTAAAAGTGAATTTTAACCGATAAATGTTGACCTAGTTCTTTCCAGTTGAAGCTCGATAAATTTTTCATGTTCTTCTTGGTGAAAGAGATTGTTCATCATTTTCTAACTTTTTTGTATATCAAAGTATGATTTCGTTATTAATCTTTACTCGGGTTGGAAATTAATATTCTTGGTGATCGAGAGTTTGAGCTTTTTAACGAAGACGGTTTGTACTCTCTTACAATTTCATCGATACATTTGTTTGAATTAAGAAGAATGCACAAGCTTCAATTAGCTCAAACTTAAACTGCTCTATCAAGCTCTACTTGTTTTCACTTTATCTGAGCGTTTAGCTTCTGCATTCTAAGTCGTACAGCTTTGATACTTGTTGAAGCATATAGTTCACTGTTTGTATATTGCCTTAAACCCTTTCGTGATCGTTTATTCTTTGAAAATTGGAGTTTATCAGGGCTTAGTATAGTATACCGCACTTTAGTTTAGCGTTTAACAACAATGAAACTCGCGGTTCTTCAAAGGAGAATGAAATAGAAGTGAACCAAAGCGATACTTGATATGCCATCTGCAAGAGGAATGTAATACGGTTATTGTATTCAAGCATAACTACTTCCACCTCAAGCTGTCTAACTTCTGAGAAGTAGCTGTGGGTTACTCCGTTAACCTAATACACTTTCTTGCATTGAATAGTAATGAGCTCGCTAATTTCATTACTCTCGGTTGAATTATTTGAACCATCACATACTTCAAGTTATTAAATTTAAGACGCACACTGTGAGTAATTTAATTCAGACAACGTTTCTACTGAATCGGAGTCTATCAGAGCCTATTGGATGCACTGCTGCTACAACCGCCTTCAGACATTTTCAATAACATATAGTTTAATTATTGAGTCGACTCAATCATTCCCCCCATAAGCTAAAAAGCGGTGCACAATGCCTCAAGACGAGATCGTAATAATTGGAAAGGATATGCCCTCATGCATGCTTGACAATGTTCTAGCTATTATTCAATCGGTGTTTAAATCCAATGCAAAATCAAAAGAAAGTGTTCATCGGGTCGTGCGTAATGCCTCAGAGATGCTGTCGAAGCGTTTGAAGAAGCTGGAAGACCGTGACTGGCAAGTTGCTGTAGTGAAAGGATCCGTTTCCTCCACGTGTGTTCATAAGCCTGGGCGTTTGTTGACAGCCTACTATAAACCCTACACTGTTCTCATCTGGCAGTCAAAGTAGTGGGTTTTTTATTTAATCAGGGTTTATATTTGTAATAAAATTAATTTATGTAACACTATCTGACTCTAATTAACGTTTTTTACGAAAATCGTAATTAAAAATTACTTTATCGAGATCTCTTTTTAATTGGTCCAAATTGTGCCACCTTAGGGCTTTATCTGAAAGTTTTAATTGTTTTAAACTTCAATATTTAATTTGTTTCTAATTGCCTACTTTTACAGAACCCTGTGTAGTTCTCTAATGTAGTTAATTTTATGATGATGATAATGATGATTATAAACAGTTTTTTGACTTTCAGTCAAATAACAGTGTCTATATTTTGCTTGCTAAAACTTGCTTGAAATTCAATTGTGAATTTACGGAAATATTGGAAACTATTTAGTCGCTTTTTAATTTCCCAGCGAAGAAATTTCTAACTTGTTAATGAAATTATGATTCCTAACTTAATAATGGAAGCACGATGAGACTAATCGGTTGAGCACTGCTTTCAATCAATGCAAAGTTGCCGATGTACTCTTGGATCCGTGTTACTTAATTGAGTGTAGGCTATTACCGTTAGCTTTATATACTTTCGAGTTAGGCACAAGAAACGTGTTGAGGAGAAATTGGCTTAGAAATTACACTTATAAAGCATTTGTACCGCCGAGGGCAAATCTTCTTATATTCTTCCGGCATTGGAAGTAATTTTGTAAAAACCAAAACTCTGAATTAATGTTTTGATAAATACAATTTCTAGGGTAAATCATTTCAAGCAGGCGATGCTGAACCAAAGACGAAAGCACTGAAATTCTCTAAACGCAATAATCAGTCTATAAAGTTGTCTTGATTCAATGTGCCTGTATTTGAAAGTCATATATCACTTTAACGTTTGTTATTATCCCCACTAGCACAAAAAGATTATGCACGCAAGTGATAATAACTGACAGTAGATCCAACGGATAATGAGGGTTGGGAGATTCAAGCCTCTAGGGTTCATGTAGTCCTGCTTCATTTGAATCTTTGGCTCGGGTCGTACAGTATTTACTACATGATTGGTTCTCTAGATTCTGTAGAATACTCGTTCACTATTCTCATTGGTTCCTGTCTAGAATTTTTTATTAATCAAGAGGGTTGAATCTTGCCGCTTTGTTCCTTTTATTTAAACTTTGTTTCTACCTGTTAAGCTTGAGATTATTTTTTTGTTCTTTCAAAAGTTTGCCAGATCACTTTATCAAAGATCAGATATACTACTCACTTCTCATAATGGAAAGTCACATCATTCCAAAGTCATTTAAAATTTTCCTTTCTTCAGAAGTGTAGTTGTCGTCAATGAAATAAGATGTCTTTTTCAATCATAACATTATAATGTGAATTTTTTTTCCGGCTGAGTTTGAGTATCTCGTCTTTTCTCTGTGTCTCAGAAGTGAGTTGTTTATAATACTATTTGTGAGTCCAAGACAAATCAATTATCACTTCTTTTCGTGCGTGAAAAGGACGCAAAAACGTTCGGAGAGTGGGAGGGGGGGGGGTGTTGGTGGGATGTTTTGAAATTAGCTTATCCAAAACGTGGTCGCCTTCAGCCTTTCGCCCTCACAAAGTGGTAATCAAATTTCCTTCTCAAAAATCTGTGAGCATCCCCTTATCTACTTCTCTATCCTACTTTTTTCTGTAGTAAAATTTCCTGTGACTTAAAGTGAACTTTTTCTATGATATTCAATGCGCTTTGATCAGTGTATTTTAATCAAGAAGAAAAAAAATCAGATCAACAAGACATCCGTGGTACTGGATCTGGCAAATTTCTTTTTGTGATTTTAAGTACGATATAATAGATTAAGAATGCTTGCAAAATAATACAGGTTTACGTGAATTTAATTTATTTGATATGACTTGAATTCGGATCTTCATGTATAAGTCGCTTTAAATTAAGCTTCGCGATCGCGACTGTGTTCCAACTTTTTTCATTCTTGGCAAAGTAATGTTGAATTTATAAGTGCCTCCAAACTAGGGCCACTATCAATAGAAACCTTTTGTGATATGTTGCAATCTAGCTTATAAATTACCGAATTGGGACAAAGGGGAATTGCTAACCTATTGTCCTCAACAGCTTTGCGAAGAAAAGAGATAGTAAAGAGTAGAAGGAATGGGGTGGAAGCAACAGAAAACTCCATTCGAAAGGAATGAAGCCAGCTTCGGAAATGGTCGCTATTTATCGATTAAAGGTCATAGTGCAGATGTAAGATGGTGTGATGAAATCGATAATTAGATTACATTTCGGATAATGGATTGGAAAAAATGGAGAAATTATTTGAAAAAACAGTTGAAGGTATGTAAATGAAAAGACCGCTAAAATTTTAATTTATAGGCTTTGAGAAGTCAAAAAGGAAATTGATTTAAGGACCTGTTAATCAATAGGTTTGAGAAGCACAGATATGTGCAAATATCCAGCCATAATTACAAGCTTATTTCAACAAGTTATTGGAAGTTAATGTCAATGTCTTCCTCTAATTTACTTACCTTGATCACATCTCTCTTATGAGTGAGCCATCAAGAGTTTCTTAGTCTGGTTGATAGGCTCGTTCTTGAACGCATTTCGAGATGTTACAAAAATCATTAACACGTTTGGAGTTTTAAAACAATATAAAGTGAAGTATAATTTAGAACATATTTTAAAATGGTTTCTGGCCAAGTAGGCTCTAATTTAGAATCACAAACGGGCGGGGTAGTTTTCTAATCTGTTCGATCTATATCACCATGGGTTAGAAATGAAATTAAGTTAGTGAGCAAAAAAATATAAAATGGGTGAGCCTAATAACTGGCAAAACGTGGCTATAACTCTGAAATTAAATATATTCAATGAAAATCATTCATAGAAGGACGTAAATAAAGCAAAAACCTGGGTAGACAACATGTAATCTCAGAGGTATTAAAAGTCAAAAACCCTTCTGAAAAATGTTAGAAATTCTACTGTTTTCAGTTTTTAGTTTTTGATAAATTTTTTTACGAAGGTAACATAATCATCTAACCCAAACCAACTTTTTACTGTAATTCCCTCCCATTTACTAAATCGCATTTCAGCTTAATGTTAATTGTTACTTTTAAAATTAAGTAGCATAGTTATTATTTATTTTTCTTTCTTCTTTCAGATTAAAATATTCTTCTCTGCATTAGATCTCCCCCTATCGAAACGTAGAAACTTGCTGTTGTAATGTTCTCCCGCCCTTTAAAGGACATACAAAAGTAGCCACTTCAATGAAAACCTTCAGTTAATGCCACTTACACAGCTGCTGTTGGACTGTGATGCAATTCGTGCTTCTTTTAACTCACTACTCATCTTCAAGTTTCCTTTTGGTGTAAATGAATGTTCAGTTGCACACTTCCTCGAACCGCTGTAATACCTTCAATAATGCAAGCATTTCTTATCCCCTTTGCCTACCATTCTATTCCCCCCCCCCCC